TGGAGCTGGGATACTTGCCCCACAGCAGGAGGACGTACTCTTTGAGCAGCACTTACAGATGTTCCTTTGAAGCCTTTGTTTGTAGGGATGAAGATGGTGAAGGGCCCCAGGGAAGTCAGCGGCCACGACAAGGATGAGTCTGAGGGCGAGAGAATAAAGTGTACCGAGTGCCTCATTTTCTACTCCTTAAAATCTCAAAATACACGAAGTGCTGATAAGAAAGAAAAATAGCAGCTTCGCTTTCTTATGTGATGATTTTCAGTTGTAGGGTATGCAGTTCTTGCAATCTGCTAGACTTGAATATGTGCAAATAAGGAAGTGAGAGAAAATGAGGTGCACAGCCTGGGATAACAACGCCCTTGACTGATAGTACGAGTGAGTTAGAGAATGACAAACTGAAGACATTTAGAAACTTAGCCTTCAAAAAACAAAGAGCCATAATACAACTGCAAAGCCATTCAGGGCTCACAATGCGAACAGATGGCCCATACTGAGCCTGCGTACCAAAGAGTGTGATGGCACTGGACAGTTGTCCTGTCCACTTTCCGCCAGGCTCTGCATTCAGCTCCCGTAACCTCTGCATAATGTTTCCATAGCAGGTCTTTCCATCTCCGACATACCCCTCGTTACACGTGCACCTGGAGAGGACACAGAGGGAACTCCGTGACGGGAAAAACCTTTAGATTTAGAAAGGAGATGTGATTTATAGACTGATCACCTCTCAGAGTGGGAATAAAGAGCTTACAGGTTCTGCAGGAGACTGAGTAAAAATGCTGCTTTGCTCAGTGTGTCTCATGAAGAAACTCTCCCTCTGATGGCTGATGAACCTGTAGCCGCCTGTACAGTACATCACACAGCCCCAGTCCCTCAGACAGTCGAATCACACACCCACCACAAAAAAAAACTATGGGAAAGACCACATAGAGCTGCCTATCCTACTACACTTTCATACCCAAAAAGTAGAGAGATGTAGGTGCACAGGTCAAGCAATATCCCATCAAACAAAACGAAGGAAAAAGACTTAAATCTTCTCTGTTGCTGTCTTGATAAACAAAAAGCTACACAGCCTCTTAAGAGATGGAACACAAAGTAAGAGCGGGAATTAAAATAATTTATGG